TTTGTACAAAATTTATACAAGGGGGGACCCTTGTGTTCGAGCTGGAAAATTATTTAAGACAATTTGTCTTCTAAAATCACCTATTTGGTATTAAAAGATTCGTCTTCTCAAGCTGATTACGATTCTGTAAAAACTAAAAAAAAATTGATACTTTTTGAGTTATAGGCATTTTAAAATTACAATTTTGCTTTTCCATTAATCATTAGTACTTTGCCCAGCATGTCTCAACTTATTTTACGGGTATTTTATCATAATATTTTTATGTTTATTACTTTAGGATGGACATTATATACAGCGGCTGTACTTTCTTGGGAATCTCAGTGTTCACATGGCGGAATGACAGGCTAAGCACCCCCCCAGTGCAGTAGTGGCTGTACCAATACCATTTGAACGGTTGAAGCCGCCTGTCGCAGATATTAGGATGGTCTGCTGCTATTCTGATCTTAAAAAGGTTTGTTTTATTCTGTAAAGAGAGGATCCAGCTGAGCTGGGCGGGAGCTTCTTATTCACTAATACATAGTACTGTCAGCTCTATTTACATTTATTTTCTTTATAAGTTTTCAGAGCCGTAATTTCAAAAGTTCGGACAGAAATTTATGCGTTTTTTTTTTCGAAAATGTGATGACCGGAGCTGGCCTACAACGGTTCCAACATCCATTATGTCGTTTCGTCGTTTTTATGAAAATATAACAGTTCGCTAAATTTTGGCACATTTTGGATAATCAGAGAATTGATTGTATGCAAATTCTATCAATACTACACATTGACAATTTCATGTGGATGCTGACATAAAGAAAACAAGAAAAACCTTGCTGACTACAGTGGATGACTACATCAAGCTTAATCGACTGATACCGATTTCGGGGTTAGTCCTAAAACCTTTTTAAATTCTTAGAGTCTTAGTTAGTAGGACTGATATTATACCTCAGCTTGTTTTATTGTTTTCTTCATGTCACAATTTTAATACAATATCATGTCCGCAGGGGATACCGGCAGTATTAAACAACCGACCATATCACCATACACTGGTAGAAAAGACTAAAGAGGAGTCGGCGATGCCAGTCTGTTTCACGTTTCCTGTCAAAAAGCTTCCTTTCGAATGTACGTAATTTTTTTGAAACTTGCATATATTGGGATTGGGGAATCGCGAATTATACAACTTTTATTGACTTAAAGGGATCGGTGAAAATTGTTTGTGTGTTGACTGGGTCTGGCCTACAACAGTCCCAGTAACTCGTTTCATTTTATGAATATAAATATCCGAATTTTGCTTGGTGGAACTATTGGGAACTATTTTGCAGGTGAAACATTTCGATTTCAAAATTTTGTTATTACATTTACTTTTATTTTCATGAACTCTTGAAGAAAGTTAGGAGTAAAAGGAAAATATGAAGCCGATGGATTTGATGAAAATTTTCGAAGTGCATTTGGTTAGTTTGATTGAATAAATTCAGTTCTTTTTCTCTACAATTTTGTACTACAACATTTGTTGAAGTGAGATTAAAGTGATGTAAAATGTCTTTGTAAAATTAACTACTAACCTAAAAACTTATTTGATTAATTAATTACAAACTTAAGTACCTTCTCACTAACCTACTTAATTTTTTACATTCTTACTGCTGTGATTAATTAGTCCAACTCCATGTTAATTACTTACTTACTGACATCACGACAAATTTCTGCAATTTGGTCTTCTTTTGCAATAGTTTAGCTAGCGCAACCAGAGAGCACGTTTCCTTGATTTGTGTATGCGATTTGTATGCGATTTCACCCCTGTATGCGATTTGTGTTCCGGGGTAGAAGGCACATGCTTTGGTATTCAAATAAGTAGTACCTGTCCCAAACCATCAGAAAAACCAAGTTTCGACCCACTAAGGCCACGCCCATCCCAAAATATCTGAAAATCCCATAAAATCCAGACTCAGCATCTTTTTATTTACCCCCGTATACGACTTATGTTCCAGGGTAGATGGCACATGTTTTAGTGCTTGAATAGCTAGTACCTATCCCAAACCATCAGAAAAATCATGTTTCGACCTCTCAACCCACCCAGGCCACGCCCATCCCAAAATATCTGAAAATCCCATAAAATCCAGATTGAAATTCTTTACCCCGTATGCAATTTATGTTCCGGGGTAGGTGGCACATGTTTTAGTGCTTGAATAACTAGTACCTATCCCAAACCATCAGAAAAACACTCTCAACCCACTCAGGCCACGCCCAGAGGCCACGCCTAACCCAGAAAAGCTACAGGGGGGATGCAAAAGTAACGTTACATACGTTGGGTTTTATACCACCACCGTGTTTCATATTATGGACCTCTAACTTTGCAGATGGCATGCTGTATCTACCCATTCGAGGACTCCGTCGGCAATGTTCGAAAATTCGAATATTTCAGACCACGCCTATACAATATTAAATCACCTATATCGTTCTTTCCGGACATGCTAGACGCCCATTTATTTCAGATTACTGTAGATAATTAATTCCTGCATCTGATCTGAAAAATTGAGGCCAAACGGATTTGAAATGACGAAGTTATCAAGCATTTTATGTATCTCGTTAACAAAATTGATTGAGTGATTATGTGATAGGACACCTTAATTGGGTTCCCATGCAATTTAACGGGGTCACGTAATCACCTGAACAGGTAATCCAATCACCTGATCACACCTAATGAATAAACTCATTATGCCTCGTATCTCGGTCATCTCAGAAGCTACAACTCTCATTTTTTCAGAACAAACGTTATTCGAATGGCCAAATACAATTCTATAAAATTTGGCTCGATCTGATTATCAAAACTATCAAATAAGTGCGATAATGAACCTTCATTCGAAAAAATGAACACAAATATTCTTTGATTTAACATATTCCTCGAATGAGTGGTGATAGTAAGTCATACCAAAAAGAATACCCGGGAACATTAATCGCATACGGGGGTAAATATTGGGCAATATTTTAGTCTGGAATTGTATGGGAATTGTATGGGATTTGACCTGAATTTCAGCTAATTAAAGTTGCCCATTGTTCCTGGGCGTGGCCTGAGTGAGTTGAGATTTCGAAACTTGGTTTTTCTGATGGTTTGGGACAGGTACTACTTATTTAACCACCAAAACATGTGCCACCTACCCGGGAACACAAATCTCATACAGGGCCGAGTAAAGATTTTTGATTTGAATTATAGCTTTTCTGGGGTCGGTGCGGCCCTTGAATCTGATTCCAAGTTGGGTTTAATGTGCTACTTAGTTATTCATATCTTAGTGTCTATAAATACGAGCAGTTTAGTGAGACCTAAAAGCTTATCTTCGTAAATTCTGCAATTATAAATATTGTAACGTACGTGCGACGCGCAAAACGCATACAAAATCGCATACACATACACATTTCAAGAAAATGTCTTCTGCGCAACCAGCGCTAGTTAACGATAGCTATCGCAAACTATCATGTTGCGATAGCTAGCGCTAGTCAGCACACACTCAACTGCACCCTGCTACTCGGTACTCCAGTATACTTACTTACTTACTTACTTACTTACTTACTTACTTACTTACTTACTTACTTACTTACTTACTTACTTACTTACTTACTTACTTACTTACTTACTTACTTACTTACTTACTTACTTACTTACTTACTTACTTACTTACTTACTTACTTACTTACTTACTTACTGCAACTTGCTTGCTTGCTTGCATATATGAATATCACATAATATATCATACGAACTATATGTTTTGTTTCAGATTATCACAACTGAATTGGACGAAACGAATGCACTCTGCTGCAAAAGATTTGAAAGACTTCGTGAGGAGTTTTTACGAAGTGTCACACCCACATTGACGTGAACTATAAACTTACTTTGAATTTACTTGTGTTTCTGCGAAGGGTTCGATTCTCAATATTTGGGAAGTTAAATACGATGTCTATTGTCTGCCATAAGGGTAACTGGGGTTAAACTTAAATACAATTTTTTAGAGCTTCTTCAATTCATCTCCGACATATCTTTTTATCCCTGCATTAATTATTATATCGATAGCTCGAAAAATATCACTTTTATTTTAATGTAACGTTATATGTGAACGATTCCTTACTGTTTTCCAAATAACCACTTGCAGAAATGCTGTAGGTTGTTTCTGCTCGTGGAAAAAGGTGGAAAATTGCGGAAATATTTGTTAAATATTTATTTGTGAACTTAAAATTATAGTTGATTACAAGTGTAGACAATATAATAAATAAATTTTGTAGGAAGTTTGTCTATGATCTACTCTATAAAGTTAAATTATGATACTGATAAACTAATATTTTAAAGTAAGGGATAGTTCTTGAAAATGCATTGTCCAAACTAATGAACATGAGTAATTTCGGGTGATCATCTCTTCATTTGTCTAAAATGAAAGAAATGACAGAAACTCATTTGAAACTCATGTTAACTATTTTGTAGTTTTATCTACTTAATATAAAATTACTTTATTTTAAAATTGCGTTATTCAAAATTATTGATCCATTTTTGCCCAATTGTTTTCCTTGTCTTGCTTTTTCATAAATCAATGATTCGCTGAATTTTTCCAAACTGTTTGCGCGGCTTTTTCAAACTTGCACTTACAATGTTTCCTGGTTTGTTTAGTTTTTAGGGTTTTTCTGTGAGATAGGTTATGGGGGTGGTATTTAATGTTGTGTGATAAAGTGAGTTGAGGTGTAGCCAGCGGGGAGAAGGTGGTGGAGGAGAGGAGAGTGGAGTGGAGTGATGAGGTAAGATGAGATAGTAAAGTAATGTTTAGCCCGAACTGGGAACGGAGCTCTAAAGCCTAATGGAGGTGGCAGTGGATTTGGTGAAGGGGGGCACCGTGGCCGAGAGAAAGGGCCGCAGGATTGGCAAAGTGATGTGCTCCGTCGCAAAGTTATATTTGATGGCGCTGGTGGGGTATATAGGAGAACGCGCTTTTGTGGGAACATAACTTATTCGAATTTCACAACACTTCGTACGAATCTCTCTCTCGTTAAATCTCTCTACATTCAACATGTCTGGACGCGGTAAAGGAGGAAAAGGATTGGGAAAGGGAGGTGCCAAGCGTCATCGAAAGATCTTACGTGATAACATCCAGGGTATCACCAAGCCCGCCATCAGACGTCTTGCACGACGAGGTGGAGTCAAGAGGATCAGTGGACTGATCTACGAAGAGACCAGGGGAGTCCTGAAGGTCTTCCTGGAGAACGTGATCCGTGATGCAGTTACCTACTGCGAGCACGCCAAGCGAAAGACCGTCACCGCCATGGACGTTGTCTACGCTCTGAAGCGACAAGGTCGTACCCTGTACGGTTTCGGAGGATAAGCAGCCTGCTGCTTTCCACCTACCTGATCTCGAGCTTGCTCGATTTCAAACAACGGCTTTTCTCAAAGCCCCACAAAAATCAAAAAAGAAAACCTGTCTAACTGTATTACAGTACAACAATATTATTCAAATTGTTCATTTCAAGCTGGATATTTGTCCTTCCAATTTAATCAACCAAGTTTTGAGTATACTTTTTACTAAATTACAGAATCAAATCCAAAACACTCACATTCTGCTCACTCAATAGCCATACGACACGTCTTTTCGTGTTTATGTCCAGGACAAGAGTTATTTCAATTTTATATGGCAAATTATCGGAAAACAACTGCATATAAGGCCAAGGGGTGCACATTGTTTGTCAGCTCCATATAGAGCCGAATAAACGGAAACAATTAATAGAACGTGAAATTACTACCAGTTGGGCCTGGACCCTTTCAGTATAGTATTAGTGCGACCACAATAACGGCAGTCTGGAAGGAGGGGCTGGCAAAAGACAGGTAAACGTTTGTTTACAAAAAGGAAGCTACTTTTGCCTTGGGATCAGGGTAACAGCTGAGGTGAGGGATAGAATTAAATAAATAAGACCAGGGTGCACTAATTTATTTTGAAATTAGGATTTTGAGAGGCACTGTTTCCCTTAGCGAGACAGGTTGAAGCCGTCCCATGCTGCCTGCCAAACTAAACATGACTTATTTCAAAATTGTCGTGCCGTGTCTGGTTTTTTAAATCGGGGACAACCATAGGGAGAGAAAGGTGTTTAGTAAGGAGCTAATCTGATCGTGCTAATAAAGTCAAATAGTTTGGTCTTGTAAGGATCTCGAGGGCCTGCCCCCGCTGGTTTGTTGGGTTATCCAAAGTTGCTAAATTCTATCCGACTGGTTTCCTTGAGGACCAATCAGAAGGCTCGCTCGTTCTCCAATTGGGCCAATCAGAACGCAGTATTTCTGGCGGGCTCTCATCCGACCTCAACTTGAATGCGGGCATCTGATTGGCTGTTGGGTCTGTGACGTCACGATAACCAAGTATATATACGGTGCACACTTTTCTTGGACAACTTCATTCATTCGAATACGTATCGTAGCGAACAGTACAGAAAATCTTACTCTAACGAAATGGCTCGAACCAAGCAGACCGCCCGTAAATCCACTGGAGGAAAAGCCCCCCGAAAGCAGCTGGCAACCAAGGCCGCCCGTAAGAGCGCCCCTGCCACCGGAGGAGTCAAGAAACCTCACCGATACAGGCCCGGAACAGTCGCCCTCCGAGAGATCCGTCGTTACCAAAAATCGACCGAGCTCCTCCTGAGGAAACTCCCCTTCCAGAGACTGGTCCGTGAGATCGCTCAGGACTTCAAGACCGACCTCCGATTCCAGAGCACATCAGTGATGGCTCTTCAGGAGGCCAGCGAGGCTTACCTCGTTGGACTGTTCGAGGATACCAACCTTTGCGCCATCCACGCCAAGCGTGTGACCATCATGCCAAAGGACATCCAGCTCGCTCGCCGTATCCGCGGAGAGAGGGCATAAGCTACCTGTCGAACTACACTCGGCACCAGCTAAAAACGGCGTTTATCAGCGCCACTCCACATATCAATAAAGAAAACACTCCAATCGTTACTTAGTTTTATTACACATATATCATCCACTGGCTGAACAAACAAACTGACACCATCAGCTCCATGACCCACTTAAAATGCAAACAAAGTCACAACTGTGCACTGTGCAGTTAGTCGAATCTTAAATTGTAAATGAAATCAAACAGACCTGCTAGTAGTATAGAGCAGAGGTTGCTAAGCATTCATATGCTATCCTCTCTTGAGCCATCGTTAAAATTGTTAGCCACTCTGAAGGACACTTCCGTCCAAGTGTGTATTTTAAAGAAAACATGTGCTTATTTAGGGTCTTCTTTTCCTGTGACTGTGAGAGATATGTTAGGCGTGGGGGCCGATAATTTTGTGTAACTGAAATGATGCAGCTTAAAAGTGAGCTTAGAAGGAAAGGGATCATGTGTGAATATTGTTCATTGACCCCGGCTGACAGTAAGTAGAACTGAATACATGGTCTTCAAAACCTACATCTGAGTAGGTGGATTGAAAGAATATGTTGGAATTGTACGAAGGTAGTTTTCTTTTTTGATATGTGGAGTGGCGCTGATAAACGCCGTTTGGGCCAAGCTGGGGCTCCCTGCGTGGTGCAGAGAGAGACAGCTGAGGGCCGGGTGAGAAGTTGCACACACAGCTTATTTCTTGCTGCTGGCGGACTTCTTGGGCAGAAGGACTGCCTGGATGTTGGGCAGGACACCACCTTGGGCGATGGTGACACCGGCGAGAAGCTTGTTGAGCTCCTCATCGTTCCTCACAGCAAGTTGAAGATGACGGGGGATAATCCTGGTTTTCTTGTTGTCGCGGGCAGCGTTGCCGGCCAACTCGAGGATCTCAGCTGCGAGGTACTCCATGACGGCAGCCAGGTAGACTGGTGCTCCGGCACCGACTCGTTCGGCGTAGTTTTTCCCTTTTCGGAGGGGTTGTGTGGACTCGACCGAACGGGGAACTGAAAGACCCGCACGGATGAATCGGGATTTAAGGCTTGGATCGAGCTTTTCCTCCTTTGCCACGGCCTGACATGTTACTTGTTTTCGTAAAGTGAAAGAATAACTGGTCTTCTGAGATTATCGTTTAAGTTAGTTTGAAGGTTAGTGGGGCCCCGTTATATATAGTAGGAACAGCGCCGACTATCGGATACTTCGCAGCCAAAGCAGCAGCGACTTTAGCGCGTTCACATTGGTCCACAGCTTTTGTCCAAGACATCGTTTGTACATAAGTAGCGAACTTCAAATTTCTTTTAATTCTCTCTCAAACCAAATCTCTCTCTCTCTATTTCGGAAATCAACCCCACAAACCTCTAACCAAGATGCCTCCAGTTACTGGAAAGAAAGCCGAAAAGAAGGCAAGGAAGAAGCCGGGGACGTGTTGCGGTGACAAGAAGCGCAGAGGAAGAGGAAGGAATCCTACTCAATACTACATCTACAGGTCCTGAAGCCAAGTGCACCCCGACACCGGAATCAGCTCCCAGGGAATGTCTATCATGAAAACTCGTTCGTGAACGACATCTTCGAGTGATCGCTGGAGACAAAAGCTTCTCGCCTAGGACACTACAACAAGCGTACAGGACCTATCTCTTCAGAGGGTACAGACCGCTGTCCGTCTCCTCTACCTGGTGAACTGGCCCATGCATGCTGCTCTGAAGGCACAATGGCCCGTCACCAAATACACTTCTTTCTTCTTCCAAGTAGATGGATGTCCTCCTCGGAGAGTTGCACGGCTCTTCGTCGGTCGCGAACCTCCCTAAAGGCTTTTCTTAAAGAACACACACTTATCATTAAAGAAAAACACTAACTTATAACTAATACCTACCTTGTATTGTACATGTAAGTTATTATTTTTTTAGCAAAAAAATCTGGAATATAGAATGTTCTTTAACATGAATTAGGTAACTAAATTATTGGATTCTGCAGCAGTGCGTGGCGAACTTGTGGTGCATTTTGTGTGCACCGTCAAACAAGTGTGATATACGTCCAAATTTCAGTGTGGTTGGATACGGCCATACTCGGTGAATACACCCCAATCTCGTTCGGATCTGGGAGTTTAAGCAACTGCGCAGGCCGGGGTAGTACATGGATGGGTGACCGTGGGAAATTCCCGGTGTGCCGTATCCTTTTGCTTTGCATGCTTTTACTTCGAGATATTAATGATTCAATTATAGGAATATAGGCTTTTTTGCCCCTCTCACCCACGATAAGCCTGCTCGGAGAGTGGGTTTTGAATATCCCAACCCCACCCTATTTTGGTTCCGATAATCGATTGAGCGATCGGTGACTAGAATTCGTTTGCGCGGAGCCTAGAACTAACCGCAAAGTGTTGACAATGTATGTAATGTATGTATGTATGTATGTGTTAAGAGTTTTCTTTTTGTATATGGGGGTTTTTGAATGCCGTTTGGGTAAAACCTCGTACCGGGAAATCGAGCCCCGAGGCCTTGGAAAGCAAAAAAAGCGGGGCGAGGCGCTTATTTAGCTTTCTTTGCAACCTTCTTGGCAGCAAGGCTTCTTCTTCTTGGGGCAGCCTTCTTCTTGGGGGTTACTTTGGCTTTCTTCTTTGGTGCAACCTTCTTCTTGGGAGAGTGCAGCTTCTTCTTTGGGGTACCTTCTCTTGGGGGCGTACCTTTTCTTGGCGGGTGACGGGCTTCTTCTGTCTTGGGTGCAGCCTTTTTGGGTGCAACACCAGGTTTGGCCAGTTTGAATGAACCAGAACAGGCGAAGTCGTTCTTTTGACCAAGCTCCCGAAGCGAGCCCTCGGAGAAGGGCAGTCTTGAGGTTGAGAATCAATCTTGTCACCGACGTTGTAGTTGCTGACGATGTACTTGGAGATGGCAAGCTTTGAGCTTCCTCCCTTGTTCTTGAGTTCCGAGATGGCAGAGGCAATCATGTCCTTGTACATTGGGTGGGCAGCGGGCTTCTTGGGAGCAGCTTTCTTCTTGGGTGCGGCGGACATCTTGTTTGCTGGTTGATTTACAATAACGCTCGGGGTTGATTTGTAGATTCTAAAGAGTTAAATTTTTCAAAGGTAAAATAGGGGTATATCAAAACGTCTAATTTCGCTTCACCGGATCGACGTGTTTTCCTGCCTCTAACTCGCGAAGCGTCCGCTCCCTGCCTCCTGGAGGTGACGGTTACGGTACCAAACTTTGAAATGCCCGTGTTTCCAAAAATATTATCTGTGGAGCGAGAAGCTTACGACACATGATAAAGAATCCCTTCATCTTACCTATTGATCGTTCAGCAGGTTAAACAGATGGTCCACCAGTACCTGGGAGCCAGTTCAATTCGAGATAACTGATTTCAGGGGCAAATTTTTGAAATGAGGACCTCCTCAGTAAGGCTTGAACAGTCCCTGTACACCCAAATTGTACCGCATGGATTAATTAAAACCTTTTCCCGTAACTCACGGTGGTCGGTGGGCACAATGACCATTTCCTCCAAGTTTTGTGGGGCGGCAAAAAAATATGACCCAGACACATGGTGGCGCCCCGAGTTTGTTGTTGGGACTTGGTTGGTCGATGCTCACTTGGTGAACTGCCTTTCTTGCCAAACACTTGAGCTCCAGTCGACCACGGCATCCTTTAAGGAAGGTCCCCTGAACATTTAGATCGACCACATCACTTAAAAGAGTCGGCTAGAGCTCTCTGAGTTTGGCGCCCCCCAACAAAAATCGCACAAAATTGGGAAGACTGATATGTGAGGTAGCATCGGAGCAAAAAGCTATCCGAATCGAACCAACATTGAGGAGGTAAACGGATACTATGAATGCAGTGCCTTAGCTGGAGCTTTGATAGTGCTATAGAGACAGGCTGCCACTAGAGGGGGAGGGCCGGTTGATGGGGGTGGTATTTAATGTTGTGTGATAAAGTGAGTTGAGGTGTAGCCAGCGGGGAGAAGGTGGTGGAGGAGAGGAGAGTGGAGTGGAGTGATGAGGTAAGATGAGATAGTAAAGTAATGTTTAGCCCGAACTGGGAACGGAGCTCTAAAGCCTAATGGAGGTGGCAGTGGATTTGGTGAAGGGGGGCACCGTGGCCGAGAGAAAGGGCCGCAGGATTGGCAAAGTGATGTGCTCCGTCGCAAAGTTATATTTGATGGCGCTGGTGGGGTATATAGGAGAACGCGCTTTTGTGGGAACATAACTTATTCGAATTTCACAACACTTCGTACGAATCTCTCTCGTTAAATCTCTCTACATTCAACATGTCTGGACGCGGTAAAGGAGGAAAAGGATTGGGAAAGGGAGGTGCCAAGCGTCATCGAAAGATCTTACGTGATAACATCCAGGGTATCACCAAGCCCGCCATCAGACGTCTTGCACGACGAGGTGGAGTCAAGAGGATCAGTGGACTGATCTACGAAGAGACCAGGGGAGTCCTGAAGGTCTTCCTGGAGAACGTGATCCGTGATGCAGTTACCTACTGCGAGCACGCCAAGCGAAAGACCGTCACCGCCATGGACGTTGTCTACGCTCTGAAGCGACAAGGTCGTACCCTGTACGGTTTCGGAGGATAAGCAGCCTGCTGCTTTCCACCTACCTGATCTCGAGCTTGCTCGATTTCAAACAACGGCTTTTCTCAAAGCCCCACAAAAATCAAAAAAGAAAACCTGTCTAACTGTATTACAGTACAACAATATTATTCAAATTGTTCAAGCTGGATATTTGTCCTCCCAATTTAATCAACCAAGTTTTGAGTATACTTTTTACTAAATTACAGAATCAAATCCAAAACACTCACATTCTGCTCACTCAATAGCCATACGACACGTCTTTTCGTGTTTATGTCCAGGACAAGAGTTATTTCAATTTTATATGGCAAATTATCGGAAAACAACTGCATATAAGGCCAAGGGGTGCACATTGTTTGTCAGCTCCATATAGAGCCGAATAAACGGAAACAATTAATAGAACGTGAAATTACTACCAGTCGGGCCTGGACCCTTTCATTTAGTATTAGTGCGACCACAATAACGGCAGTCTGGAAGGAGGGGCTGGCAAAAGACAGGTAAACGTTTGTTTACAAAAAGGAAGCTACTTTTGCCTTGGGATCAGGGTAACAGCTGAGGTGAGGGTTAGAATTAAATAAATAAGACCAGGGTGCACTTATTTGTCTTGAAATTAGGATTTTGAGAGGCACTGTCTCCCTTAGCGAGACAGGTTGAAGCCGTCCCATGCTGCCTGCCCAACTAAACATGACTTATTTCAAAATTGTCGTGCCGTGTCTGGTTTTTTAAATCGGGGACAACCATAGGGAGAGAAAGGTGTCCAGTAAGGAGCTAATCTGATCGTGCTAATAAAGTCAAATAGTTTGGTCTTGTAAGGATCTCGAGGGCCTGCCCCCGCTGGTTTGTTGGGTTATCCAAAGTTGCTAAATTCTATCCGACTGGTTTCCTTGAGGACCAATCAGAAGGCTCGCTCGTTCTCCAATTGGGCCAATCAGAACGCAGTATTTCTGGCGGGCTCTCATCCGACCTCAACTTGAATGCGGGCATCTGATTGGCTGTTGGGTCTGTGACGTCACGATAACCAAGTATATATACGGTGCACACTTTTCTTGGACAACTTCATTCATTCGAATACGTATCGTAGCGAACAGTACAGAAAATCTTACTCTAACGAAATGGCTCGAACCAAGCAGACCGCCCGTAAATCCACTGGAGGAAAAGCCCCCCGAAAGCAGCTGGCAACCAAGGCCGCCCGTAAGAGCGCCCCTGCCACCGGAGGAGTCAAGAAACCTCACCGATACAGGCCCGGAACAGTCGCCCTCCGAGAGATCCGTCGTTACCAAAAATCGACCGAGCTCCTCCTGAGGAAACTCCCCTTCCAGAGACTGGTCCGTGAGATCGCTCAGGACTTCAAGACCGACCTCCGATTCCAGAGCACATCAGTGATGGCTCTTCAGGAGGCCAGCGAGGCTTACCTCGTTGGACTGTTCGAGGATACCAACCTTTGCGCCATCCACGCCAAGCGTGTGACCATCATGCCAAAGGACATCCAGCTCGCTCGCCGTATCCGCGGAGAGAGGGCATAAGCTACCTGTCGAACTACACTCGGCACCAGCTAAAAACGGCGTTTATCAGCGCCACTCCACATATCAATAAAGAAAACACTCCAATCGTTACTTAGTTTTATTACACATATATCATCCACTGGCTGAACAAACAAACTGATACCATCAGCTCCATGACCCACTTAAAATGCAAACAAAGTCACAACTGTGCACTGTGCAGTTAGTCGAATCTTAAATTGTAAATGAAATCAAACAGACCTGCTAGTAGTATAGAGCAGAGGTTGCTAAGCTGAAGCATTCATATGCTATCCTCTCTTGAGCCATCGTTAAAATTGTTAGCCACTCTGAAGGACACTTCCGTCCAAGTGTGTATTTTAAAGAAAAACATGTGCTTATTTAGGGTTATTTAGGGTCTTCTTTTCCTGTGACTGTGAGAGATATGTTAGGCGTGGGGGCCGATAATTTTGTGTAACTGAAATGATGCAGCTTAAAAGTGAGCTTAGAAGGAAAGGGATCATGTGTGAATATTGTTCATTGACCCCGGCTGACAGTAAGTAGAACTGAATACATGGTCTTCAAAACCTACATCTGAGTAGGTGGATTGAAAGAATATGTTGGAATTGTACGAAGGTAGTTTTCTTTTTTGATATGTGGAGTGGCGCTGATAAACGCCGTTTGGGCCAAGCTGGGGCTCCCTGCGTGGTGCAGAGAGAGACAGCTGAGGGCCGGTTGAGAAGTTGCACACACAGCTTATTTCTTGCTGCTGGCGGACTTCTTGGGCAGAAGGACTGCCTGGATGTTGGGCAGGACACCACCTTGGGCGATGGTGACACCGGCGAGAAGCTTGTTGAGCTCCTCATCGTTCCTCACAGCAAGTTGAAGATGACGGGGGATAATCGTGGTTTTCTTTACCTGGGGACCTCAATGTGCCAGCAATTTCTATAATATATTCATATTTACATCTCCAGGATGTGTTGTACAGGATGAACATTACAGGATGTGTAGAAGATTCAGAGGTGAGAAGAGTAGAGGGAGGGCGAGGAAAAAGGTGATGAAGTTACAGGAGAAGACGGATCTGATGATAGGAGAATTTGAGCAACTTGTTTCAAAAAGAGGTGAATAGCGGTGACTTGGATCACGGAAATTACATGGAGATAAGGGTGTGTACATTTCATAGTTAGTAACTATTAGTTACACCACATAACTTGTGTCACTTAAAACATAAACTTTTTTATTCTAGTTGCAAATTGCCTCCTAGCTTCACTGTATTATGTCAGAATTTGGTCATCATCCTGTTAGTGTTTGCTGTTATTATCGAAACAACCTGCTGTAATTAGAGCTTTATTTATTGAAAATTACTTATGATGTTTAATATAATATAATAACCTCACCAAATAGAATAATATGTTGTTGGTTTAATCGTTGCACAATTAATACACTGAACCTATTAAATTATTCTTTGTCAATAAACAATAAACTGACTATATCGCAGTTAATATTATTTCTTTACATTATATTCATATTATATGATCATGCACTTGGCATGGTTCCGGGGCTAGCCAGGACAGAGGTGGGGCAGAATCCCACTGCGTTGTGGGCTTTCTCCTCGCCGCCGAAGACGGGACAAGTGACAATTTCTGAGTTTCGCTTAAGCTCATTCCGTAGTTCCAAGTACAATGAACACATCAGACGGAATGACAAAGCTCCCTTATTGGGCAGCTAATAAATTCACAGTTTCTAAAGTTTTGGCTTTTTAACCCAATTTGTAATTCCCAGTTATGGATCCAAGTCAAAACATGGAGGCAAGCACTCCATCCATCTTAGATAATCCGATTCGTCCACTCACAGAACCATCAATTCAACCGGTCCCGGAAGGGTTTAAATCGTACGTGAATACGTGAATACCTTTATTCCAAAAAGTCAGCTGGATGAAATGTTCGCAAACTCACCCCTGCAAAATCGACAGCTGAAATGGCCGCTGACTATCATTACTATTAGCCAGAAGTTCACGACCGATATATTCAATTTCTTTATATTTTGGGCTTTTTCCATTTAGCTTTCTTTAATCTTTCTGGTATTATTTATTCCCTTTCTTTTTGTGTACAGTCAACCCATTCATTTAAGAAGTTAAGAGCATGATACGCATTTTCGTTTATTTTTTATTTTTCTTGAGATGTATCAAATAAAGTCGGAACACAAGTCGGAAATAAAGTCGAAATCAGCTGTACTCTGTAGTAGAAATAAAAGTGAATGTTACAAGCCTTAGGTAGAAGAGTACGGACCGGATATCACTTGTGAACCATGTTCTTGACATATCATTTTTCTTAAAATACTATGTCTTAAACTTTAAAATTATATAATTATTTATTATAACTGTGCTACCATCAGTTTTAATTGCATTTTTTAAGTGTACAGTCATACAGTGACAGAAAAAGTGTTTGAAACGTAGCCAGGCTACTGAGAGCCACGATAAAGATAATTAAACGGCTTCACTTCAAGACATACCATCCTAGCCTCAACATTATAGTGTTTGATAGATAGAACAATGTTGATATGTTAAGTTGTATTTGTTTTATATTTTAAGTGCACTTGAATATCAAATATATTCGACGGCTAGAATTCGAGCAGCAATTACTCGGGGCAGAAATCACCCGTGATGCGTGAACCATGTTCTTGAATTGGTGCTTACAGCTTAAAAAGAACTATCCCTTTTTAAGAATCAATCTCTGAAACTTTAAAATGTTAATATAATAGTATTATTGAAGAAGTATAGTACGACAGGATTATATGCTATCACTAATAAAAACTTGATTCCAGCGAAGTATTTAACATCGTAAGAAATTTACAACACAAATTACTTTACTATTCCGGATATCAGAAAGAAACGGATATGAACGAATACATATCTGATAACTCTGAAGATAAACACCAGACTGCAGGGGTCGACCGAGGGCAGGATTTTCGACCGAGGCCGAGGAAAATACAGTTAGTTAAGACCGAGGCCGAGGACAACTGAGGTTTCTTTTTTTTTACCGAGGCCGAGGAGTGCAAATTTTGACCGAGGCCGAGGAATTTTGGCAGAAAAATTGTTGGGAAAAAGTCTTCTGGCTCAACATGGGCAGCAATCCTGGATAGTACCTCACAGTCTGAAGAAGACGATGAATTCGAAGAAAATAGTGAGAAGATAAGGAGGGAAGCTAACAGATACTTAAAAGACTCTCGAGTTGATTTATCATTTCAACCATTTAATTTCGAATGTTGCAGAAGCCACGAACTGTGAAAATAAAATAAGGTTTTCAGTTGAAAAGTTTGAAAAGCCAGTCAAGAAGGTTTTATCAAATTTGATGTATAATATGTACAAGCAGTTGAATTCTGTCGTCGGAGAAACTCTGACTGCAATGAAAGATGTTGAGCAATTGAAGAGTTGTCTTATCCGATCACAAGAGTCGGTTATCAAACTGCAGAGGGAACTTCTTGAAGCCAAAGCCAATCAGTTGGAATCTGTTCAGACCACCGTAAAATCTGCTGTTCAGGACACTGTTCAAGCTGAGATCAAGTTATACAGTCAAGCTGTGTTAAAAGCCTCGCCGAACACTACAATAACGGAGGAGAGCCTGAAAAAAGTTGTGCAGAAGGCTGTGTCAGAAGAGGATCGCAGCAGGAATGTTCTCATTTTTGGTTTAAAGGAGACAGATGAAGAGAAACTATCAGACAAAGTAGACGAACTATTTGAACAGATTGAAGTGAAACCACACTTCGAAGCTGTAAGGATTGGAAGGAAATCAGCTGACAAGACCAGACCTGTCAAAATTTTGTTATCAAATTCGAATACTGTACATCAGATTTTATCAAAACTGTGTTCATTTCACCAGATCGGTCACCTGAGGAGCAAGCCAGACATCATCTGCTCGTTTTGGAGATGAAAGAAAAGGCAAAGAAGGATTTGAAGAGACGATATTATATCAGAAGTGGTATTATTTGTTGTGAGGACAAGATATCATAGTGAACGATGCATAATCATGAAGTTTTTTCTTGTGTGTGACTTAACGGGTGATACTCGTAAATTTGAAGCCCCAAATAAAGAGGACTGTCCCCCTTCCGAGCTGTGCACAGAAGATTATTCTGATTCAGAATGCTCAGATATTGTCATTTCATCAGACGATGAATCTTAGACTATGATATTTTTAGTTTTGTGTCCTGGTCAATTGGTCGTTTTATTTTCAATTTTACAAATTCGTTTACATTAACCTCTGTAAGTCTGTAGAAAAATTCACAAAATTTCAACAAAAATCCTCAGTCAAATCCTCGGTAAAATCGTCAAATTTCGCCGAGGCCGAGGAATTTCGAATCTATTTTTGACCGAGGCCGAGGCGAACCGAGGAATTGTCCTCCTGACCGAGGCCGAGGCCGAGGTCAGGAGGCCTTGTTATATTAATCTCAAAATAAGCGTACACGATCTAACGAACACATGTTCGCCTGATATCGAACAGTATAGTACGCACAAATGATGATACGTAATTTTAGAATTGGTTCTAAACTATGACACAATGAATGGCGGCCGCGCCAGCGGTTGTCATTAGCAATTATATTGAGAAGTCTCCGTTTGACTGTCAAAGTTGGCTGGCAGGGAATTCAAATAAATTGCAAAAGCAAAATTTAATCACGTACGTAATCAAGATAATACATGGGAAACCTAATTTTAGACTATTTCTTAGTCTAAAAATTATTAATGATTAATTAAAATGTTTGTGAATTATTAATAAATGTATTTGATCCTCAATGCGTGCTTTTTATAAAAGAAAAGCACGTCGGAGGGAATAAAGTTGGGGTTCTGGTCAGTAAACCACTTACCCAATTCAAGAGGCTTACTGGGCAAGCACTAATCCGACAACAACAGAACAGCTACCATTAAGAATGGTTGGAAGCTTTGGACAATTTTGAAAATATTGTAAACGACATAAGGAACTTGGTCTCAAAACAACACAAAAGCACAAAGAAGAGACTGAGAGGCAGAGAAATTTGCTGCTTCTAATCGTCGATACTATCACTACATTGTGTAAGCAAAATATTG